AGACCCCTGGCAGTCTTCAAGCTGGCACTGGACAAGCACCTAAAGTCAGTTCCGGATCAGCCGGGCTGTGGCTCATATGTTGGTTTGCGTGCAGCCAGCAGCAACAGCCTGGTTGATCAGGCTCTGATCCACCAGGAGGCCTGGTCTCAGACCGGGCCGCGGGGGCGTTGACCCCCGAAACTCTCTCCAGGTAAACTCCAGGTTCACCTAGCAGTAAGTAGGTACCTGGGTGTTAGTTACCTTACACCTGCTGTCAGTGTTCACCTAGCAGTAAGTAGGTACCTGGGTGTTAGTTACCTAACACCTGCTGTCAGTGTTCACCTAGCAGTAAATAGGTACCTGGGTGTTAGTTACCTTACACCTGCTGTCAGTGTTCACCTAGCAGTAAGTAGGTACCTGGGTGTTAGTCACCTTACACACCTGCTGTCAGTGTTCACCTAGCAGTAAGTAGGTACCTGGGTGTTAGTCACCTTACACCTGCTGTCAGTGTTCACCTAGCAGTAAGTAGGTACCTGGGTGTTAGTCACCTTACACCTGCTGTCAGTGTTCACCTAGCAGTAAGTAGGTACCTGGGTGTTAGTTACCTTACACCTGCTGTCAGTGTTCACCTAGCAGTAAGTAGGTACCTGGGTGTTAGTCACCTTACACCAGCTGTCAGTGTTCACCTAGCAGTAAGTAGGTACCTGGGTGTTAGTCACCTTACACCTGCTGTCAGTGTTCACCTAGCAGTAAGTAGGTACCTGGGTTAGTCACCTTACACCAGCTGTCAGTGTTCACCTAGCAGTAAGTAGGTACCTGGGTGTTAGTCACCTTACACCTGCTGTCAGTGTTCACCTAGCAGTAAGTAGGTACCTGGGTGTTAGTCACCTTACACCTGCTGTCAGTGTTCACCTAGCAGTAAGTAGGTACCTAGGTGTTAGTCACCTTACACCTGCTGTCAGTGTTCACCTAGCAGTAAGTAGGTACCTGGGTGTTAGTCACCTTACACCAGCTGTCAGTGTTCACCTAGCAGTAAGTAGGTACCTGGGTGTTAGCACCTTACACCTGCTGTCAGTGTTCACCTAGCAGTAAGTAGGTACCTGGGTGTTAGTCACCTTACACCTGCTGTCAGTGTTCACCTAGCAGTAAGTAGGTACCTGGGTGTTAGTTACCTTACACCAGCTGTCAGTGTTCACCTAGCAGTAAGTAGGTACCTGGTGTTTAGTCACCTTACACCAGCTGTCAGTGTTCACCTAGCAGTAAGTAGGTACCTGGGTGTTAGTCACCTTACACCTGCTGTCAGTGTTCACCTAGCAGTAAGTAGGTACCTGGGTGTTAGTTACCTTACACCTGCTGTCAGTGTTCACCTAGCAGTAAGTAGGTACCTGGGTGTTAGTCACCTTACACCAGCTGTCAGTGTTCACCTAGCAGTAAGTAGGTACCTGGGTGTTAGTTACCTTACACCTGCTGTCAGTGTTCACCTAGCAGTAAGTAGGTACCTGGTGTTAGTCACCTTACACCAGCTGTCAGTGTTCACCTAGCAGTAAGTAGGTACCTGGGTGTTAGTCACCTTACACCTGCTGTCAGTGTTCACCTAGCAGTAAGTAGGTACCTGGGTTAGTTACCTTACACCTGCTGTCAGTGTTCACCTAGCAGTAAGTAGGTACCTGGGTGTTAGTTACCTTACACCTGCTGTCAGTGTTCACCTAGCAGTAAGTAGGTACCTGGGTGTTAGTCACCTTACACCAGCTGTCAGTGTTCACCTAGCAGTAAGTAGGTACCTGGGTGTTAGTTACCTTACACCTGCTGTCAGTGTTCACCTAGCAGTAAGTAGGTACTTGGGTGTTAGTCACCTTAAACCAGCTGTCAGTGTTCACCTAGCAGTAAGTAGGTACCTGGGTGTTAGTCACCTTACACCTGCTGTCAGTGTTCACCTAGCAGTAAGTAGGTACCTGGGTGTTAGTCACCTTACACCTGCTGTCAGTGTTCACCTAGCAGTAAGTAGGTACCTGGGTGTTAGTTACCTTACACCTGCTGTCAGTGTTCACCTAGCAGTAAGTAGGTACCTGGTGTGGGTAGCATCCTGGGGAAACAAACCAGAGCAGTGACTGGCTTACTAACCCTCCGGGTTTATAATTCTAAGCTCCTCAACCCTCTAAGTCAATTAAAAATATTTTTAATTAATTTTATTATTCCTGTCTATACACCAGCGCCATTTTCGTCTGGGTTGTGAACAACCTCTGTTTTAGACGTTTTCCTCGCTATCTGGAGAACAATAATGTTGTACCGTTTGTTCTAGTTATTGTTGGAGACATTGTTCTTCTGTTGTGATTTGTTAATATTATCTCCGGGCATCGATGATTTAGTAATTAATGGATAAAATGAACACATCTGCAGAGTTCAAAATGGCCGAGGAGGGAGAGAGAGAGAGAGAGATGCTTACTTGGTTAGCGAGGTTTAAAGCCTATCTACTGCATGATGCTGCATGTCGTGTGCTCAAAACCTGTCGAAAATATTTTATTACCTTAAATAGTTATTAATATAAACTTTCAGAGCATATACACTGTGATGGGGCAGCGTTTTTTTTTTTTTTTTTTGCTAGCATCTTTTCAATGTTTATTCCAATGAATTTCTAATTATTATAACTAAATTATTCTTTCAACCTATTAATATTAATTTTATTAATTATTTTCTTAAAGTTTAATTGAGTTTATTATAAATAAATTTACTGAATGTTAAAGGTGTAAGCCCTGGGCATACATACTATCATATTTCTTATTTTATCTAAAATTACAAAAATAGCAAATATGTGTTAATTAAAAATACATTAATATGAAAAATAAATTATAATTACTATATAAAAATGCAAATACAATAAAAAAAAATCTATCACCTTATCTATTTTCCCGAGGGACTGGTCGTTATTTATCTCTATTTTAACTATTATCAGTTTACCATTATTAATATTATTTAATGTTAATAATGTTAAATATAGTGATAACTGTGTTAATATAGTATTAATAGTGTTAATATAGTGTGAACAATGTTAATACAGCATTAACAATGTTAATATAGCATTAACAATGTTAATATAGCATTAACAATGTTAATATAACATTAACAATGTTAATATAGCATTAACAATGTTAATATAGTGTGAACAATGTTAATACAGCATTAACAATGTTAATACAGCATTAACAATGTTAATATAGCATTAACAATGTTAATATAGTGTGAACAATGTTAATACAGCATTAACAATGTTAATATAGCATTAACAATGTTAATATAGTGTGAACAATGTTAATACAGCATTAACAATGTTAATATAGCATTAACAATGTTAATATAGTGTGAACAATGTTAATACAGCATTAACAATGTTAATACAGCATTAACAATGTTAATATAGTGTGAACAATGTTAATACAGCATTAACAATGTTAATATAGCATTAACAATGTTAATATATTGTGAACAATGTTAATACAGCATTAACAATGTTAATATAGCATTAACAATGTTAATATAGTGTGAACAATGTTAATACAGCATTAACAATGTTAATACAGCATTAACAATGTTAATATAGTGTGAACAATGTTAATACAGCATTAACAATGTTAATACAGCATTAACAATGTTAATACAGCATTAACAATGTTAATATAGCATTAACAATGTTAATATAGTGTGAACAATGTTAATACAGCATTAACAATGTTAATATAGCATTAACAATGTTAATATAGTGTGAACAATGTTAATACAGCATTAACAATGTTAATACAGCATTAACAATGTTAATATAGTGTGAACAATGTTAATACAGCATTAACAATGTTAATATAGCATTAACAATGTTAATATAGTGTGAACAATGTTAATACAGCATTAACAATGTTAATATAGCATTAACAATGTTAATATAGTGTGAACAATGTTAATACAGCATTAACAATGTTAATACAGCATTAACAATGTTAATATAGTGTGAACAATGTTAATACAGCATTAACAATGTTAATACAGCATTAACAATGTTAATACAGCATTAACAATGTTAATAGAGCATTAATAATGTTAATATAGCATTAATAATGTTAATATAGCATTAACAATGTTAATACAGCATTAACAATGTTAATATAGCATTAACAATGTTAATATAACATTAACAATGTTAATATAGCATTAACAATGTTAATGTAGCATTAACAATGTTAATATAGCATTAATAATGTTAATATAGCATTAATAATGTTAATATAGCATTAACAATGTTAATACAGCATTAACAATGTTAATATAGCATTAACAATGTTAATACAGCATTAACAATGTTAATACAGCATTAACAATGTTAATACAGCATTAACAATGTTAATACAGCATTAACAATGTTAATACAGCATTAACAATGTTAATATAGCATTAACAATGTTAATACAGCATTAACAATGTTAATAGAGCATTAACAATGTTAATACAGCATTAACAAAGTTTATACAGCATTAACAACGCTAATATAGTAATAACAATATTAACATAGTATTAACAATATTAACATTAACAACACTAATATAGTAATAACAATATTAACATAGTATTAACAATATTAACACAGTATAATAATATTTATACACCAGGTCTCTAGCTTACAAAAAAAAAACATTTTATAAAACCTCAAAACTTAAAAAAAACATCAAAATATTCGCATAAGAGTAATAATATTATAATAAAAATATAATAATCTACTGATAATAATAATAATAATAATAATAATAATAATAACTATAATAATAACAATAACAATATAAATTAAGAAGATGTTAAGACTTTAGGTTGAGGAGGTAAACATTTTATAAAACCTCAAAACTTAAAAAAAACACCAAAATATTCACATAAGAGTAATAATAATATAATAATAATATAATAATATATAATAATAATATATAATAATAGCAATAATAACAATAATAATAACAATAATAATATAAATTAAGAAGATGTTAAGACTTAAGGAGGTAAACATGGCCGCCAACTGCTACTGCTGCTGCTGTGTTATTTTAGTTAATTTTTGAGGTTGTTGGTGGGTAATTAGACTCGGTTAATGACCCAGGTGAGAGGTAACTACCACAGCTTTATTTCTCAGGTAAATTAAACCTTGAGCTTCAGCTTTATTGTCTTAATTTCAGCTTTATTTCTCAGGTAAATTAAACCTTCAACTTCAGCTTTATTGTCTTAATTTCAGCTTTATTTATGGTTATTTTTTCCTTTAAATTATCACTAAATAACTTTTATTACTTCAGTCACCTTGGATCAAAAACCCCACATTCCTCCCGTTCAAATATGTTGGTCTCGTACGGGTTTAGCGCTCCCCGGTGATTATGTCCCCTACTGGAGTGTCTCTGGTGCTTCTGAGGGCTCTTGATCCCAGGGAATGGAACTGGTGACCCCCCTACGGGTGTAGAGCTTCCCATATATTGGCTCAACCGAGAGGACCCGGGTTCGATCCCCGGCACGGGTGTACTCAGCAGTAAGTAGGTACCTGGGTGTTGCTCACCTTACACCTGCTGTCAGTGTTCACCTAGCAGTAAGTAGGTACCTGGGTGTTGCTCACCTTACACCTGCTGTCAGTGTTCACCTAGCAGTAAGTAGGTACTTGGGTGTTAGTCACCTTACACCTGCTGTCAGTGTTCACCTAGCAGTAAGTAGGTACTGGGTGTTAGTCACCTTACACCTGCTGTCAGTGTTCACCTAGCAGTAAGTAGGTACCTGGGTGTTAGTCACCTTACACTTGCTGTCAGTGTTCACCTAGCAGTAAGCAGGTGCCTGGGTGTTAGTCACCTTACACCTGCTGTCAGTGTTCACATAGCAGTAAGTAGGTACCTGGGTGTTAGTCACCTTACACCTGCTGTCAGTGTTCACCTAGTAGTAAGTAGGTACCTGGTGTTAGTTACCTTACACCTGCTGTCAGTGTTCACCAGCAGTAAGTAGGTACCTAGGTGTTAGTCACCTTACACCTGCTGTCAGTGTTCACCTAGCAGTAAGTAGGTACCTGGGTGTTAGTCACCTTACACCAGCTGTCAGTGTTCACCTAGCAGTAAGTAGGTACCTGGGTGTTAGTCACCTTACACCTGCTGTCAGTGTTCACCTAGCAGTAAGTAGGTACCTGGGTGTTGCTCACCTTACACCTGCTGTCAGTGTTCACCTAGCAGTAAGTAGGTACCTGGGTGTTAGTTACCTTACACCTGCTGTCAGTGTTCACCTAGCAGTAAGTAGGTACCTGGGTGTTAGTCACCTTACACCTGCTGTCAGTGTTCACCTAGCAGTAAGTAGGTACCTTGGTGTTAGTTACCTTACACCTGCTGTCAGTGTTCACCTAGCAGTAAGTAGGTACCTGGGTGTTAGTCACCTTACACCTGCTGTCAGTGTTCACCTAGCAGTAAGTAGGTACCTGGGTGTTAGTCACCTACACCTGCTGTCAGCGTTCACCTAGCAGTAAGTAGGTACCTGGGTGTTAGCACCTTACACCTGCTGTCAGTGTTCACCTAGCACTAAGTAGGTACCTGGGTGTTAGTCACCTTACACCTGTCAGTGTTCACCTGGCATTAAGTAGGTACCTGGGTGTTAGTCACCTACACCTGCTGTCAGTGTTCACCTAGCATTAAGTAGGTACCTGGGTGTTAGTCACCTTACACCTGCTGTCAGTGTTCACCTAGCAGTAAGTAGGTACCTGGGTGTTAGTCACCTTACACCTCTGTCAGTGTTCACCTAGCAGTAAGTAGGTACCTGGGTGTTAGTCACCTTACACCTGTCAGTGTTCACCTGGCATTGAGTAGGTACCTGGGTGTTAGTCACCTTACACCTGCTGTCAGTGTTCACCTAGCAGTAAGTAGGTACCTGGGTGTTAGTCACCTTACACCTGCTGTCAGTGTTCACCTAGCAGTAAGTAGGTACCTGGGTGTTAGTCACCTTACACCTGTCAGTGTTCACCTGGCATTAAGTAGGTACCTGGGTGTTAGTCACCTTACACCTGCTGTCAGTGTTCACCTAGCAGTAAGTAGGTACCTGGGTGTTAGTCACCTTACACCTGCTGTCAGTGTTCACCTAGCAGTAAGTAGGTACCTGAGTGTTAGTCACCTTACACCTGTCAGTGTTCACCTGGCATTAAGTAGGTACCTGGGTGTTAGTCACCTTACACCTGCTGTCAGTGTTCACCTAGCAGTAAGTAGGTACCTGGGTGTTAGTCACCTTACACCTGCTGTCAGTGTTCACCTAGCAGTAAGTAGGTACCTGGGTGTTAGTCACCTTACACCTGTCAGTGTTCACCTAGCAGTAAGTAGGTACCTGGGTGTTAGTCACCTTACACCTGCTGTCAGTGTTCACCTAGCAGTAAGTAGGTACCTGGGTGTTAGTCACCTTACACCTGCTGTCAGTGTTCACCTAGCAGTAAGTAGGTACCTGGGTGTTAGTCACCTTACACCTGCTGTCAGTGTTCACCTAGCAGTAAGTAGGTACCTGGGTGTTAGTTACCTTACACCTGCTGTCAGTGTTCACCTAGCAGTAAGTAGGTACCTGGGTGTTAGTCACCTTACACCTCTGTCAGTGTTCACCTAGCAGTAAGTAGGTACCTGGGTGTTAGTTACCTTACACCTGCTGTCAGTGTTCACCTAGCAGTAAGTAGGTACCTGGGTGTTAGTTACCTTACACCAGCTGTCAGTGTTCACCTAGCAGTAAGTAGGTACCTGGGTGTTAGTCACCTTACACCTGCCACATGTACAAAATATATTAAATTTTCCACTCGTTTTTTATTCATTTTCACTTACAAAAAAAATTTTAACTATCGTAAGCTTTTTTTTTTTTTGGGGGGGGGGGGAGATAGAAATTTAATTATTTTATCATTTTCATTTTTCATTTTAGGTTTGCATTTTAAATGGAGGTTAAATCTAGTGAAAACCTCCAGTATGGAGTTGAGACTAATGTAGAAGAGGAAGTCGGAGTCGTGCAGTGTTCGGCCACGCCGCAGCCAACTCGACGACCCCTACAACAGATACATCTACCTGTGTCGTCTTCGCCGATGTCGCAGTCATCAGCAACGCCATATAAGTGAGCTTCGTCGTGCCTGTTGCAGTAGTGTCGGTTTTCTGGACTCCAATTTAATGGATTTTCAGATTTTATGGCTGAAATCTGTGGCTATATAATACAAGCAAGAGAGAAAGTCTGTTAAATCAGAATTGACTGTTACATTTATGCTTAATTTGTTATTTAGCAGCATCTGTTAAATCTGAATTGATTACGTTTACACTCAATTTTTTATTTAAATAAATCTGTTAAATAAGAATAGGCTGTTATTGTTTTAGTTTGCTGCATAAATTTATTTTCAGATTTAACAAACTAAATCCATTAAATTCATAATTGTTCATTATTGATACAGTCATTGAAAAATATTATAATTTGACTTTAATGGCCACCCTCCACCCCATTAGTATGTTAAATCAAGGGTTCACGGTATGTTTTAATATACCTTGATCTTTCTTCAAGGATGTAGGGGCCTTGATGATGATGATGATGGGTTCTTGATTTTTGCACTTTTACTATTTATCTAATGTAGTATATAAGTGATATAGCTTGTATAAATGTTTTACAGGTACCATAAATGTCAGATGATCCCAGAAGAGCAGGAGGGTCAGGAAAACCTAGACCCTCGGAAGATACGTCAGCGGAGTAAGAAATCACACCTGACCAATAGGTTTGTAAGCTGCGGTATGTGCAATATGTATTATATTGGTCAATGTCAGGACCACCAGCATTATCCAGCAGTAATGAGATGTGTCTGCTAGAGGATTAGCAGATTTATGTGATTGTTGATCGTTGGTACTACCAGCTCTGTCCATCAGAATGTCTGCTAGAGGATTAACAGATTTATGTGGTTGTAGATTGTTTAGAGTTGATACAGTTAAGTCAGATCACTATAATTTTGCTACTCCAGACTAGTAAGATCCTCAGAGACAAACAGTCGATTAGCTGTATAAAGTGGTTACTCGGGGAGGTTGTGATGTCGGGCGGTGGACCACACAGCAACAACTTTCAGTAAACTCATACAACCATCCAACTAAAGCTTGAGATTTTATCTACACATTTCCTTGAAGGACGGGTGGAGATATGTTGTAGCTTTTGAACTGTAGTATCAGCATGCCTCTGGCAAAACGGAGATGGAGTGAGTGATGATGAAAGTATTCTTTTTTGGGTCACCCTGCCTTGGTGGGAAATGGCCAATGTGTCAAAAATATTCCTCAATCTAATATACAGTGGACCCCCGCTTAACGATCAGCTCCCAATGCGACCAATTATATAAGTGTATTTATGTAAGTGCGTTTGTATGTGTATGTTTGGGGTCTGAAATGGACTAATCTACTTCACAATATTCCTTATGGGAACAAATTCGGTCAGTACTGGCACCTGAACATACTTCTGGAATGAAAAAATATCGGTAACCGGGGGTCCACTGTAATAATCTTCGTGTAAGTCTGAGTTGTTAAGTCAAATAATAACAATCTTTATATGGGTAAATAACACAAGTCTATATCATATGAGATTTCCTTTACAATATAAGCGTGGACTCTGGCCAGGCGGATTGCTAGGGTCACCATTTGTATCATGTATTTATGTGCAGCTTCAGAAAGATTATATTGCCTTAGTTAATGTGATATAAAGACATAGATAAGTGAGTACTGGTATCACTGGCTGTACTGAAACAGGTGCAGTACTGGTATCACAGTATACACTGAAGCAGGTGCAGTGCTGGTATCACAGTATACAGTGAAGCAGGTGCAGTACTGGTATCACAGTATACAGTGAAGCAGGTGCAGTACTGGTATCACAGTATACAGTGAAGCAGGTGCAGTACTGGTATCACAGTATACACTGAAACAGATGCAGTACTGGTATCACAGTATACAGTGAAGCAGGTGCAGTACTGGTATCACAGTATACAGTGAAGCAGGTGCAGTACTGGTATCACAGTATACAGTGAAGCAGGTGCAGTACTGGTATCACAGTATACAGTGAAGCAGGTGCAGTACTGGTATCACAGTATACAGTGAAGCAGGTGCAGTACTGGTATCACAGTATACAGTGAAGCAGGTGCAGTACTGGTATCACAGTATACAGTGAAGCAGGTGCAGTACTGGTATCACAGTATACAGTGAAGCAGGTGCAGTACTGGTATCACAGTATACACTGAAACAGGTGCAGTACTGGTATCACAGTATACAGTGAAGCAGGTGCAGTACTGGTATCACAGTATACAGTGAAGCAGGTGCAGTACTGGTATCACAGTATACACTGAAACAGGTGCAGTACTGGTATCACAGTATACACTGAAACAGATGCAGTACTGGTATCACAGTATACAGTGAAGCAGGTGCAGTACTGGTATCACAGTATACACTGAAACAGGTGCAGTACTGGTATCACAGTATACAGTGAAGCAGGTGCAGTACTGGTATCACAGTATACAGTGAAGCAGGTGCAGTACTGGTATCACAGTATACAGTGAAGCAGGTGCAGTACTGGTATCACAGTATACACTGAAACAGGTGCAGTACTGGTATCACAGTATACAGTGAAACAGGTGCAGTACTGGTATCACAGTATACAGTGAAGCAGGTGCAGTACTGGTATCACAGTATACACTGAAACAGGTGCAGTACTGGTATCACAGTATACACTGAAACAGGTGCAGTACTGGTATCACAGTATACAGTGAAGCAGGTGCAGTACTGGTATCACAGTATACAGTGAAGCAGGTGCAGTACTGGTATCACAGAGCATACTAAACATGTCCGTGGGTTTGAGCTGAAGGGTCTACCCTGTCTTACACTTAATGTGGGTGAGAGAGATGTAAGAAATAAGGAGGAACAAGAAGGCTAGTGAGAGAGAGGAATTAATCAAGAGTTCTTGACTTTTTTAATTTCATTGTTAAAAAAAGTGGATTGAATAAGATTGCTGCATTTTCTGTTACAGCACCAGATGTCTCTGCTGTATTTCCAGCTGCAGCTGTATTATGAATTTAACTTCAGCTACCTCCTCAGCAGGAAGTGATCATGAGCCAGCTGAATCCACCAGGTTGGTAAATTTTGAAAATTCAGGTAAGAACAGGATTCTGGGGCACGCTCTTCCTAGAATATAAAAATGGAGGAGCATTGTAGTAGGCCTACTGGCCCATAAAAGGTAGATCCTCATAAAATAATCAACCATTCCCACCCACCTATTTGTGCAAGCTTTTCCCAGAGTTACCCTAGAATTCTCTTAAATACCTCAGGTACTAATCACACCCATCACTTCTCACTCATCAATTTGTCTAATCTCTTTTTAAAGCTAAAGAAAATCTTACCCTACTCGGTAGATTATTCCCCTCATTGACAACTGTTTGAAAAACCAGTACTTATCTATGTTCTTTCTAAATCTAAATTTCTCTAATTTAAACCTGTTATTTTTGGTTCTTACTTGACTCAATATTGGGTCTGTGGCCTAACTCGTGTCATTTTGTTGGCGGTTGACAAAGAAGTCAATTGCTGGAGTGTTCTACTTGTTTGAGCTGAGTTCTGCATAGTTTGCAGCATGGTGCAGGAAGGTGTTGTATGACCTTTGTGGGTTTAGTGTTTATTTCTCATTATAATAATAATAGGAGCAAGGGGTTAGTAACCCTTTCTCCTGTATAAATTACTAAATTTAAAAGGAGAAACTTTTGTTTTTCTTTTTGGGCCGCCCCGCCTTGGTGGGATACGGCCGGTTTGTTAAAAAAAAAATAATAATAATAATGTACAGGAAAGTGATCTGATCCACCAGGAGGCCTGGTCACAGACCGGGCCGCGGGGGCGTTGACCCCCGGAACTCTCTCCAGGTAAACTCCAGGTAAACTGGTGTGAGCTCTGGGTTGCTGCTGCTGTCACTGTAGCAGAGATTAAACAGAAGTCAGTTTTATTAGACTGGAAGGGTGGGTAGTAGTGAAACTGAGTATGGGAACAGTTCCAAACCTGAAAATTTGTGTATAGAGTAGTTGATGAGTGGAACAGGCTGCCTTGTAAAAACTCTTGCATAACTTGCTTAACTCTTGCTTAGCTTCAGATTTAGGCTAGATAAATACATGAATGAGGAAGTTGGGTTTGAGTCGGACTTGCACCTGAGTAATTGAGTTATTGAAGCTCATTCCTTGGGTAGTATTAAAAATGAGTTGAACAAATAATTTTGCTAGTTGGTTTGAGAAGGACTTGCCTAGTTTGGGCCAGTAGGCCTGCTGCAGTGATCCTCCTTTCTTGTGGTCTTACACAACGATTTGGGGGGAGAGCTGTCCTCGTGGTGTCTTGGTTTCAGTAATTTGTTCATGTAATTTTTTAGAGTTTCCAATGATCACAGCACTTAGTACATCCTCTTCAGATTCATTCCATTGATCTAGCACTCTGAAGAAAAATTTCCTAGTATCTCTGGCTCCTTGTATATAGAGCAAAGCACCTGGTGATAGTGAGACAGCATATTTCCTGCTATTTTTACCTTGGCAGTTCCGTACACACAGTAAATATATGATTTCTATAAAGTTGTATTAGAATCATAATTGAGTAAATCTTCCAGGTTTCGAGGTACTTCCTCAGATGAGACTGGGGAATCTTCACCTTTTGCTTACCCTCTCATATGGGAGTCTCAGCATGGATCCACCTTGTCTTCAACACACAGCCCCTCGAGCCTCAAGAACACTCCTCCTTCAGAGGAGAGCCCCAAGAGCAACATCGGTGGCAGAGGTCGTTATCCCTGCACTGGAAAGGGAACACCAAATACCGAAAATAATTTTCCAGATGAGCCCATTGTAGAGAGAGGTCCAGATAAAGAAGGAAGCAGGGCTAAAAAGGTGAGGAACGGCAGCGGATCTAGTGGAGAAAACTCAGTGAGCAAACATCACAGTCACCAGTGCCTGAATATCACACCTTCCAAGTCTTCGCTGACTCCGTCTCCCTCCGATCGATCAGTATTCCGTACTCCTTCAGAGAGATTTTCTAGGTAAGTTAATTTATAAGATTTATAAGTAATGTTCTTCCCCCACTAATGTACAAATCTAGGACATCATGGTGGTTCACTGGTGAGCATTATGGTAGTTCGCTTTGGACATTATGGTGATTCACTTTGGATATTATGATGGAACGTCTGGGACATCATGGTAGAGACACCTGGTATATCAAGGTGGAAGACTCAGAACTTTACAGTGGGTTGCTAATAGACGAGAAAAACTTTAAACTCTTCAAAAGGTAAAGGTATGGTGAGAGGCTAGTTTATCATGGTGGGAGGCTAGTTTATCATGGTGGGAGGCTAGTTTATCATGGTGGGAGGCTAGTTTATCATGGTGGGAGGCTAGTTCATCATAGTGGGAAGCTTAGTTTATCATGGTGGGAGGCTAGTTTATCATGGTGGGAGGCTAGTTCATCATAGTGGGAAGCTTAGTTTATCATGGTGGGAGGCTAGTTTATCATGGTGGGAGGCTAGTTCATCATGGTGGAAGGGCAAGGTTCATCATGGTGGAAGGGCAAGGTTCATCATGGTGGAAGGGCAAGGTTCATCATGGTGGAAGGGCAAGGTTCATCATGGTGGAAGGGCAAGGTTCATCATGGTGGAAGGGCAAGGTTCATCATGGTGGAAGGGCAAGGTTCATCATGGTGGAAGGGCAAGGTTCATCATGGTGGAAGGGCAAGGTTCATCATGGTGGAAGGGCAAGGTTCATCATGGTGGAAGGGCAAGGTTCATCATGGTGGAAGGGCAAGGTTCATCATGGTGGAAGGGCAAGGTTCATCATGGTGGAAGGGCAAGGTTCATCATGGTGGAAGGGCAAGGTTCATCATGGTGAAGGCAAGGTAGAATGGCTGGTTAGGTAAAATATGGATAATTTATAAGTGTATGAAAGAGAGGTACACAAGACCAGAGGTGCCCATTAAAACATTTTTTTTTTTTTTTTTTTTTTTCAACAAGTCGGTCGTCTCCCACCGAGGCAGGGTGACCCAAAAAAGAAAGAAAATCCCCAAAAAGAAAATACTTTCATCATCATTCAACACTTTCACCACACTCACACATTATCACTGCTTTTGCAGAGGTGCTCAGAATACAACAGTTTAGAAGCATATACGTATAAAGATACACAACATATCCCTCCAAACTGCCAATATCCCAAACCCCTCCTTTAAAGTGCAGGCATTGTACTTCCCATTTCCAGGACTCAAGTCCGACTATATGAAAATAACCGGTTTCCCTGAATCCCTTCACTAAATATTACCCTGCTCACACTCCAACAGATCGTCAGGTCCCAAGTATCATTCATCTCCATTCACTCCTATCTAACACGCTCATGCACGCTTGCTGGAAGTCCAAGCCCCTCGCCCACAAAACCTCCTTTACCCCCTCTTTCCAACCCTTTCGAGGACGACCCCTACCCCTCTTTCCTTCCCCTATAGATTTATATGCTTTCCATGTCATTCTACTTTGATCCATTCTCTCTAAATGACCAAACCACCTCAATAACCCCTCTTCTGCCCTCTGACTAATGCTTTTATTAACTCCACACCTTCTCCTAATTTCCACACTCCGAATTTTCTGCATAATATTTACACCACACATGTAAGTGAAATAATATAGTAATTCTTTTATTTAAAGTGTTATAATGGGTTGCTAAGATTAGAAAGTATTGTTATCTTCAGAATATAAAGGAAGGTAGTGACCATATTGTAATATCTGCGCATTCAGTACAAGTCAGGGTGTCAGTACTGGACTGTGATGTCTGTGTTTTTATCCTGTCCATGGTGAAGTGGAACAGAATTCTTCCTCCCTAAGCCATGCATGTCGTAAGAGGCAACTAAAATACCGGGAGCAAGGGGCTAGTAACCCCTTCTCCTGTATACATTACTAAAGTTAAAAAGAGAAACTCTTCTTTTTCTTTTTGGGTCACCCTGCCTCTGTGGGATACAGCCGGTTTGTTGAAAGACGAAGATATTTATTTCTGGCCAAACTGCTAAATTCTCTGTTCTTGTCTATTCTTTTCTTTCTGTATTTTTTCCACTCAATTACACTTTTTTTTTTTTCGCCTCTCTGCATCTCTGGTTGAGCCAGTGGCTCTTTCTTTCTTGTTTCTGGATCTTCATGGTATGGTGTCCTAAGCTTCCCTACATTTTCCAGCTAGGTACTCCATTTCACTGGCTCGCCTTCCAATTCACATGATCGAAGTGTATAAGTGGGAGATAGGTATTAATAAAGGGGATATTAATAAGGTCTTGAGGATATCTCTCCAAGAGAGAACCTGCAGTAATGGATTTAAATTAGATAAGTTTAGATTTAGAAAGGACCTAGGAAAGTATTGGTTTGGAAATATGGTAGTTGATGAGTGGAACAGTCTACCTAGTTGGGTTATTGAGGCTAGGACTTTGGGTAGTTTCAAATTTAGGTTGGATAAGTACATGAGTGGGAGGGGTTGGATTTGAGTGGGGCTTGCACATCAGAGCTTATTTCTTGGGTAGCATTGAAAATTGGGTTGGGCAAATGTTTTGTTAGTGGGATGAATTGTAAAGGACCTGCCTAGTATGGGCCAACAGGCCTGCTGCAGTGTTCCTCCTTTCTTATGTTCTTATGTTCACTGTCCCAGTCCTCTGCATTCAGGAAGTCTCTCAACTTGAAATTTTTCCTTATAAAATCTGGTTTTTCACACACTCCGCCCATTATATTTTCCTTTACATTTAGTTGCACTAGGTACTTAAGGTTCAGTACTGCATAATCACTAGTGCCCAGAGAGCTGTTATATTCTATCTTATCAATATCATCTCATCTCTGTTTCTCTTCTTCTTCTTTCAACAAACCTGCCGTATATTACCAAAGCTGGATGGCTCAAAAGAGTAAAAGAAAAGTTTATTTTTCAACTTTAGTAACATGTACAGGAGAAAGGGTTACTAGCCCCTTGCTCCGGGCAGGTTAGTCTCCTCTTATGACATGCATGATTTACAGAGGAAGTGTTCTGTTCCACTTCCCCATGGAGATCTCATTTGTCTTGTTCTAAAAGTACTCACTTAAAAAGTTTTCTCTATTCACCTCCATGAGCCTAGATGTGTGTGTTTGAGTATACATGATATCTTAATCTTTCACAGCACCAAGTCTAATGAATGCAGAGGACCACAGACACCGCAGCAAAGACGTATCCTTAACCATCACAGCATAAACCCATTTGAAGTTGGAGCGGAGTGTCTGCAGCTGCCAACTGTGAGCCCTTCGCTCTTCCGCCACGTTGTGTCTCCCAGTCAGAAAGTTGATGGCAAGTTTCGTTGGTCTATTGATCAACTGGCTCTCTTACACCCAGTAAACATTGAAACATCTCCCTTCAACCAGGCAGACGTGGTTATTGATCCTGACTATGAACGTCAAGCACAGGATGCCATTGACAAGTAAGTTGGTTATATACCTGGAGGGTATTCAGGGGGTCAGTAACCCCACAGCCCAGTCCATCACCAGGCCTTAATGTGTAATCTTCATCTGGTTTACAATATTTAGGATTTCCTTCAGTAGAACACAGACTAACTTGTCTACTCTGAGAGTGCCAAAGCAGTGCTTCCATGTTTATACCATATTTTTGAGGAAAGTTGGAATCAGTTTTGTTTGTCAGACTAGAAGATTATAATTTTCTTATCTTCGGATTATTTTATTCATTTATTTTTATATAGAAAGGAAGGAAAATTTACATACTATAATTCATTGCCATTTAACAACTTTTTTTTTTTTCTGTTTAGCAGAGAGTAAGTTTATTTAGGCACAGATATACATAAGTACAATTATCGTACATAGTGTAAATTACCCACCAAGATAACTCAAAAAAGTCAGTGACCCTTTAATAGCCAATCCCTGCCAGGACAGTGCCTTGGTATAGGTGAAGGACTCTTGATCCAAGGAATTATATCTCTCTTTTTTCTTGGATTTAATCTTCTGATTACCTCCCTCTCCAGAGATGCTGTATGACCCTTACAAGGTTACTTTTTTCTCTTGAATATTTTAATAATAATGATCTTGTGTAACCAATGATATATCTCTTCTGTTTGTATTGTGTTCACATAGATATATAACAAGTTTCTACATTACCTCGTTTTTTCATATAAATTTGAAAGGGTATACACCTACCATCTGACTTATGACCACTCGACTTATGACCGTGTTTTTTATGCCAAATTTCTGGAAAATAAACAAGTATTTGTGTTGTACACAGTGTTTATCCTAAACCTTACAGTATAAAATACAGTACTAACAGCATAAAAAGTAAAGTAAAACATGAAATACCAAAATAAAACAATATTATTATTATTATTTTTATTATCACACTGGCCGATTCCCACCAAGGCAGGGTGGCCCGAAAAAGAGAAACTTTCACCATCATTCACTCCATCACTGTCTTGCCAGAAGGGTGCTTTACACTACAGTTTTTAAACTGCAACATTAACACCCCTCCTTCAGAGTGCAGGCACTGTACTTCCCATCTCCAGGACTCAAGTCCGGCCTGCCACTCTCCTTGAATCCCTTCATAAATGTTACTTTGCTCACACTCCAACAGCACGTCAAGTATTAAAAACCATTTGTCTCCATTCACTCCTATCAAACACGCTCACGCATGCCTGCTGGAAGTCCAAGCCCCTCGCACACAAAACCTCCTTTACCCCCTCCCTCCAACCTTTCCTAGGCCGACCCCTACCCCGCTTTCCTTCCACTACAGACTGATACACTCTTGAAGTCACTCTGTTTCGCTCCATTCTCTCTACATGTCCGAACCACCTCAACAACCCTTCCTCAGCCCTCTGGACAACAGTTTTGGTAATCCCGCACCTCCTCCTAACTTCCAAACTACGAATTCTCTGCATTATATTCACACCACACATTACCCTCAGACATGACATCTTCACTGCCTCCAGCTTTCTCCTCGCTGCAACATTCATCACCCATGCTTCACACCCATATAAGAGCATTGGTAAAACTATACTCTCATACATTCCCCTCTTTGCCTCCAAGGACAAAGTTCTTTGTCTCCACAGACTCCTAAGTGCACCACTCACCCTTTTCTCCTCATCAATTCTATGATTCACCTCATCTTTCATAGACCCATCCGCTGACACGTCCACTCCCAAATATCTGAATACATTCACCTCCTCCATACTCTCTCCCTCCAATCTGATATCCAATCTTTCATCACCTAATCTTTTTGTTATACTCATAACCTTACTCTTTCCTGTATTCACTTTTAATTTTCTTCTTTTGCACACCCTACCAAATTCATCCACCAATCTCTGCAACTTCTCTTCAGAATCTTCCAAGAGCACAGTGTCATTAGCAAAGAGCAACTGTGACAACTCCCACTTTATGTGTGATTCTTTATCTTTTAACTCCACGCCTTTTGCCAAGACCCTCGCATTTACTTCTCTTACAACCCCATCTATAAATATATTAACCCTTTGACTGTCGCGGCCGTATATATACGTTTTACGAGGTGCCGTGTTTGACGTATATATACTCATAAATTCTAGCGGCTTCAAATCAAGCAGAAGAAAGCTGGTAGGCCCACATGTGAGAGAATGGGTCTGTGTGGTCAGTGTGCACCATATAAAAAAAATCCTGGAGCACGCAGTGCATAATGAGAAAAAAAAAACTCCGACCGTTTTTTTTAATTAAAATGCCGAATTTGTGGTCTATTTTCGTATAGTATTTATGGTTGTATTCTCGTTTTCTTGGTCTCATTTGATAGAGTGGAAAACATATTACAGAAATAGAGGTGTTTTTGATTGATTTTACTATAAAAAGAACCTAGAAATGGAGCTCAAAGTAGGGGAAATGTTTGATTTTTGCCAATGTTCAAAAGTAAAACAAATGATGCCATTGTCCAATAAATGTCCAACTAGCCATTCTAATATGCAGTCATGAATGGGTTGATGTTATTTATACAGTTATTACAGCATTGCAGTAGTCTGCATAATAGTAAGTCTAATATTTTTTGTTTGAATAAAAATTCAAAATAGAAAGCAAGAGTAATATCAGAGGGGCCTGGAGACGTGACTGATGAACAAAGAAAACGTTATTTTAGAGCCTGGAATGTCTGCATTGTTCATTCTGGACCTTATTTTGAAATTGTCATATTTTTTAGTTTTCGTGAAATTGGCCAAATTGCAAATTTCTGACCACATTATTAGGTAGTTGAAATCAGTAAATGGGCAGTTTCTTGTACTCAATCGATAGAAAAAAATGGAGTTCTAAAGAAATAGCTATGAGTTTGGGCGACTGGAACAATGGAATTAGCCGAAAATAGGGCTCAAAATGGGCGAAATCGCCGATTTGTAAACAGCGCCGAGGTCGCTAACTTCACGAGAGCATAATTCCGTCAGTTTTCCATCAAATTTCGTTTTTTTGGTGTCATTACAATCGGGAAAAGATTCTCTATCATTTCATAAGAAAAAATAATTTTTTTTTTTTTTTAAATTTTGCGACACCAGGAGACACCTCAGGATTGGTGGTTGCGACAGTCAAAGGGTTAAACAACCATGGTGACATCACACATCCTTGTCTAAGGCCTACTTTTACTGGGAAAAAATTTCCCTCTTTCCTACATACTCTAACTTGAGCCTCACTATCCTCGTAAAAACTCTTCACTGCTTTCAGTAACCTACTTCCTACACCATACACTTGCAACATCTGCCACATTGCCCCCCTATCCACCCTGTCATACGCCTTTTCCAAATCCATAAATGCCACAAAGACCTCTTTAGCCTTATCTAAATACTGTTCACTTATATGTTTCACTGTAAACACCTGGTCCACACACCCCCTACCTTTCCTAAAGCCTCCTTGTTCATCTGCTATCCTATTCTCCGTCTTACTCTTAATTCTTTCAATTATAACTCTACCATACACTTTACCAGGTATACTCAACAGACTTCTCCCCCTATAATTTTTGCACTCTCTTTTATCCCCTTTGCCTTTATACAAAGGAACTATGCATGCTCTCTGCCAATCCTAGGTACCTTACCCTCTTCCATACATTTATTAAATAATTGCACCAACCACTCCAAAACTATATCCCCACCTGCTTTTAACATTTCTATCTTTATCCCATCAATCCCGGCTGCCTTACCCCCTTTCATTTTACCTACTGCCTCACAAACTTCCCCCACACTCACAACTGGCTCTTCCTCACTCCTACAAGATGTTATTCCTCCTTGCCCTATACACAAAATCACAGCTTCCCTATCTTCATCAAACATTTAACAATTCCTCAAAATATTCCCTCCATCTTCCCAATACCTCTAACTCTCCATTTAATAACTCTCCTCTCCTATTTTTAACTGACAAATCCATTTGTTCTCTAGGCTTTCTTAACTTGTTAATCTCACTCCAAAACTTTTTCTTATTTTCAACAAAATTTGTTGATAACATCTCACCCACTCTCTCATTTGCTCTCTTTTTACATTGCTTCACCACTCTCTTAACCTCTCTCTTTTTCTCCATATACTCTTCCCTCCTTGCATCACTTCTACTTTGTAAAAACTTCTCATATGCTAACTTTTTCTCCCTTACTACTCTCTTTACATCATCATTCCACCAATCGCTCCTCTTCCCTCCTGCACCCACTTTCCTGTAACCACAAAAATTCTGCTGAACACTCTAACACTACATTTTTAAACCTACCCCATACCTCTTCGACCCCATTGCCTATGCTCTCATTAGCCCATCTATCCTCCAATAGCTGTTTATATCTTACCCTAACTGCCTCCTCTTTTAGTTTATAAACCTTCACCTCTCTCTTCCCTGATGCTTCTATTCTCCTTGTATCCCATCTACCTTTTACTCTCAGTGTAGCTACAACTAGGAAGTGATCTGATATATCTGTGGCCCCTCTATAAACATGTACATCCTGAAGTCTACTCAACAGTCTTTTATCTACCAACACATAATCCAACAAACTACTGTCATTTCGCCCTACATCATATGAGACAGAAAAAGAAACCAGCAATCCTACCATCATGCAAAACAGTTACAGGTTTCTGTTTCACAGTCATCTGGCAGGACGGTAGTACTTCCCTGGGTGGTTGCTGTTTACCAACCTACTACCATTAAAAGAATAAAATAGTCATTACAAAAATGTTTTGTTGATATTCAGTAGTAAAGTTCGACTTACGACCATTTCGACTTATGACCGGTTTCTCGGAACCAAACTCAGTCGTAAGTCGGATGGTAGGTGTATAATTTTGTTTGAGGTTCAGTGAACCTTTGGATATACAGTGGACCCCCGGTTAACGAACTTTTTTCATTCCAGTAGTATGTTCAGGTGCCAGTACTGACCGAATTTTTTCCCATAAGGAATATTGTGAAGTAGATTAGTCCATTTCAGACCCCCAAACATACACGTACAAACGCACTTACATAAATACACTTACATAATTGGTCGCATTTGGAGGTGATCGTTATGCGGGGGTCCACTGTATTGGATCAAATCTGCTGGAGCAGCAGTCGAAGTCCATCTCTTACAAAATTGTGTATTACTGCTATGGTTGTAGGAAGACAATCTTATCTCTGTCTACCACAATCATCGTTACCACCCATCAACTACCTCTCTATTAATCCATTAAATGTAGAGTTTACCTTTTGATTTGTAGAAGGAGTTCATCAAGTGTTTACATTAATTTCTACAACACTTTCAGATTCTTCACCCATCATACAGTAGCATCCAGTCCTTGGACTGGTAGTGAAAAAGCGGTGAACCTCCTGCGGATGCTGTGCACTCCAGTACAGTCTGCTGCTAGTCATCCCGTCTCGCACACTAACACTGGTTTGTAGTCACAATTGACATTTTAAAAATTGTCTGCCTGCCTTCACAATTTGCCATTAATCAAGTTGCAGATACAAAGTACAGTGGACCCCCGGATAACGATCAGCTCCCAACTCGACCAATTATGTAAGTTTATTTTTGTAAGTGCTTTTGTAGGTGTATTTTTAGGGGTCTGAAATGGACGAATCTAATTCACAATATTTCTTATGGGAACAAATTCGGTCTATAACGGCACCCAAACAGACTTCTGGATTGAAATAATATCGTTATGCGGGGGTCCACTGTATTTTATCTGGCATTCTTCTGCTTCTTCAACTTGTATATTTTCTTGCTGTCACCCATCTTAACCACTTTTCAAACTGAAATTAACCCGTAAACGGTCCAAGCAGATCTACGTTCACATGTGTAGTGCTACAAAAGTAGATCTACGTTTTTTTATACATATTTTCAAATATATCAAAAAAAAAAGATCAAAGTATTTTTACACATTTTCAAATGTAAAAAAAACAAAAAGATCTACTTTTTTACATACTTTCAAATGTTGAAAAAACGTATATATACGTTTGGACCGTTTACGGGTTAAACATTTTTTAAATTTAACCTAGACTTAAAGGACATAAATGGAGTTGAAAAGAGTCTTGCATCTCTGTAGTTGATTAAGTGGTTGTGGAGGAAGACAGTCGGTGTTGCGGGATCTTGGAAGAAGACACTCAGTGTTACGGGATCTTGGAATCATCACTGGTCGAATATCCAACAATTTTAACCACAACAACGGCTTTTACAATATAGCTGAACTTAGATATGAGCTGTTTGCTTCCTTGGTTCGTTGCCTGAGAGCAGTGCTTTTTTGTAGATGAATGGCTCAGAGAACCGACATGTTGATAAATTAGACACACGTGCAACTCTTGGGTATCTTAATTGAGGAAACGTTTCGCCACACAGTGACTTCATCAGTCCATACAGAGGAGAGTCTTGAAGAACAGGAGGAGAATGAAGTAATCAGTCCCTCAACCTTGAGTCGATGTGGTCAGTCCATCAATCTTGAATAGATTGATGGACTGACCACATCGACTCAAGGTTGAGGGACTGATTACCTCATTCTCCTCCTGAGAATGTGGTCAGTCCATCAATCTATTCAAGATTGATGGACTGACCACATAGACTCAAGGCTGAGGGACTGATTACCTCATTCTCCTCCTGAGAATGTGGTCAGTCCATCAATCTATTCAAGATTGATGGACTGACCACATAGACTCAAGGCTGAGGGACTGATTACCTCATTCTCCTCCTGTTCTTCAAGATTCTCCACTGTATGGACTGATGAAGCCACTGTGTGGCGAAACATTTCCTCAATAAAGATACCCAAGAGTCGCACATGTGTCTAATTTATCAATGCTTTTTTGTTTAACAAAGTTCAACCATCAGTACACACATTTTCTATTAACTACTCAGCACACAGGTAAATGTAACACAAATATTTCTTGAAAGTTTTCCACTCTACTTAAGAATCTTTATGTCTAATTTGAAAGACGGGCAGTTTTGCCACTACAGTGGAACCTTGAAAATCGAACTGCTCCCAACACAACCAATTATGTAAGTGTATTTTTGTAAGTGCTTTTATAAGTGTATTTTTGAGGGTCTGAAATGGACTAATCTAATTTACATCATTCCTGATGGGAATAAATTCATTCGGTAAAGGCACTCAAACAGCCTTCTGGACTGAAGAAAGTTCGATATTTGAGGTTCCACTGTATACACTTTTATCAGCTTTATCCTTTCTTTTCTCTTTATTCAAGTACACTCCTATTTTGTTGTTAGCTTTACTTATGGTTTCTTTGCTTAATCATACACCCCTAGTTTATCAACTATTCTCTCTCTTCATTTACCTTATCATATTGATTTTTCCTTAGTTCCTATTTTCCTCTTACATCTACATCATCTGTAAAAACTTGCATTTGTGGTCACAGTGGTGGCCCATGCTAACTTCCCTATGGTATATAAATATACTAGTTGGATGAATATTGACTCACGAAATCGTAATGACATGAATGCAAACAAACCATACCACGGACAGGACGTATGGTTTGGATGAATCTTATTGTAACCAGCTGGCCCAGTGGTTTACACACTGACCTGGAGTTTTGCAACTAACATCCCATAGGTTCCAACCCCACCCTTACCATAATTTGTCTGCGATCATGTTGTTATGATTGCATGGGTCATATCTATTATATCTTTATTCTTTTACTTCCAACACAGACCACAAAAAATATATATCCTCTGTTTGTACTTTTTGTTGAAATCTAAGGGGAGGTAATTTTTGTAATACACACTACCACACACAGACTCGTGTCCCTCTACTTCTAGTCTAGGGTATAAGGACGAGGTAATTTTTGTAATACACACTACCACACACAGACTCGTGTCCCTCTACTTCTAGTCTAGGGTATAAGGACGTTTTAGTTTATTTAAGTTTTAGAAGGATGTTTTAGTTTATTTAGGTTTTAGAAGGATGTTTTAGTTTATTTAGGTTTAGAGGGACGTTTTAGTTTATTTAGGTTTTAGAGGGATGTTTTAGTTTATTTAGGTTTTAGAGGGATGTTTTAGTTTATTCAGGTTTCAAGAAAGCTTTCAATAGAGTTCCCTGTAGGAGACTAATCTGGAGTGGAAACTACAAAACATAGGGGGATGAATAATAGACAACTACAAAAAAAATCGCAGGGTCACCATCTGGAGAAGACCCGGGCCGGAAGTACCGGCGAGTCTCTAATGAATGAATGAACTACAGAAAATAATAAATTATTTATGTAAATGAAAACTACAAACTGATAATGGAGAAAAATGTTGTTGGAAAAAACTTTATATATACAGTGGACCCCCGGTTAACGATATTTTTTCACTCCAGAAGTATGTTCAGGTGCCAGTACTGACCGAATTTGTTCCCATAAGGAATATTGTGAAGTAGATTAGTCCATTTCAGACCCCCAAACATACACGTACAAACGCACTTACATAAATACACTTACATAATTGGTCGCATTCGGAGGTGATCGTTATGCGAGGGTCCACTGTATATATATTTCAGCCACATAAGATTTTTTTTTTTTTTTTATTATCACACTGGCCGATTCCCACCAAGGCAGGGTGGCCCGAAAAAGAAAAACTTTCACCATCATTCACTCCATCACTGTCTTGCCAGAAGGGTGCTTTACACTACAGTTTTTAAACTGCAACATTAACACCCCTCCTTCAGAGTGCAGGCACTGTACTTCCCATCTCCAGGACTCAAGTCCGGCCTGCCGGTTTCCCTGAATCCCTTCATAAATGTTACTTTGCTCACACTCCAACAGCACGTCAAGTATTAAAAACCATTTGTCTCCATTCACTCCTATCAAACACGCTCACGCATGCCTGCTGGAAGTCCAAGCCCCTCGCACACAAAACTGTATATAAAACTGTATATAAAAACCACTTAATTTGTCATTGTCTTATTAATCTTAAGCTAGTTTTAAGTTTGTCCGAAATGCTCTTCATATCTAACCCTTAAACTGTCCAAATGTAGATCTGCGTTCACTCACGTAGTGCTCCGAACGTAGATCTATTTTTTTACATAAGAAAGCACGTAAAATTGAACTTAGATTTACGTTCGGAGTGCTATGCGAGTGAGCGTAGATCTACATTTGGACAGTTTAAGGGTTAAGGAGCTTTCTGCACACCTAAATGTCTTTCACCTCTGTACAAACATTGTATAATACAGTGGACCCCGGGTTTACGATATTATTTCATTCCAGAAGTATGTTCAGGTGCCAGTACTCACCGAATTTGTTCCCATAAGGAATATTGTGAATTAGATTAGTCCATTTCAGACCCCAAACATACACATACAAACGCACTTACATAAATACACTTACATAATTGGTCGCATTGGGAGCTGATCGTAAACCGGGGGTCCACTGTATTTTAAATTAATCTTCTTTACATTTTGCAGGCCATAATTATAAGAGTGAATTTGTAATAGAGAATTACAACCAGAAATGGATCCATCACAAAAATAGCAAATTTGCATTTAACAGCTTGCATAGAATCAAGGATCAATCTAATTATTATTTATATATTTTACTTTCATGTGACTAATTGTTTGATGTGGAGAAAATCGTAAGTTGATAAGCTATGTGATGTTGAGCGTGCTAAGTGTTTTATGTCTCGTCAGTTTGGTGTCAGACGGAATTATCGCTGCCGCCTGTGTTGCCCGAGGCTGTGGAAGAAGCTCTCAGGCCGTTCTGTACCTTCACACAGGTGACTCTTGAAACTTGAATATGTTAATGGTATACATTACTGACAAGATGATAAGTAAGACGTATATTCAGTACAGTGGTACCCCAAGTTTCATACATAATTCGTTCCAGAAGGCTCTTCAAGTGCCGTTACCGAATGAATTTGTTCCCATAAGGAATAATATAAATTAGATTAGTCCGTTCTAGACCCCCAAAAATACACTTACAAAAGCAGCTGTAGGAAACTTCCGGTACCACTGTATTTAGGTAACATTGTTCCAGACTATGGAGCAAAAAACTTCAGGTACCACTGTATTTAGGTAACATTGTTCCAGAATATGGAGCAAAAAACTTCAGGTACCACTGTATTTAGGTAACATTGTTCCAGACTATGGAGCAAAAAACTTCAGGTACCACTGTATTTAGGTAACATTGTTCCAGACTATGGAGCAAAAAACTTCCGGTACCACTGTATTTAGGTAACATTGTTCCAGACTATGGAGCAAAAAACTTCAGGTACCACTGTATTTAGGTAACATTGTTCCAGACTATGGAGCAAAAAACTTCAGGTACCATTGTATTTAGGTAACATTGTTCCAGACCATGGAGCAAAAAACTTCAGGTACCACTGTATTTAGGTAACATTGTTCCAGGCTATGGAGCAAAAAACTTCTCCAGGCTGTGGGACTGACTACCTTCAAAGGTTATGGAGTGATTACATCGTGTTTACAGCTCTACTACTGCTGCCTCTGTACTTGACTAAAGAAGTTACTGTGTAGGTGAAACATTTAGGAATAAACATACCTGACTGTTGCACCTGTGTCTTACTAACTCTTCAAACTTGTTCTGCTTTCTTTCAACAAACCAGCCATATTTTACCGAGGCAGGGTGTCCACTGAGGCAGGGTGTCCACTGAGGCAGGGTATCCACTAAGGCAGGGTGTCCACTGAGGCAGGGTATCCACTGAGGCAGGGTATCCACTGAGGCAGGGTGTCCACCAAGGCAGGGCGACCACCGAGGCAGGGTATCCACTGAGGCAGGGTGTCCACTGAGGCAGGGTGTCCACTGAGGCAGGGTGTCCATTGAGGCAGGGTGTCCACTGAGGTAGGGTGTCCACTGAGGTAGGGTGTCCACTGAGGCAGGGTGTCTACTGAGGCAGGGTGTCCACTGAGGCAGGGTGTCCACTGAGGCAGGGTGTCCACTGAGGTAGGGTGTCCACTGAGGCAGGGTGTCCACTGAGGCAGGGTGTCCACTGAGGCAGGGTGTCCACTGAGGCAGGGTGTCCACTGAGGCAGGGTGTCCACTGAGGCAGGGTGTCCACTGAGGCAGGGTGTCCACTGAGGCAGGGTGTCCACCGAGGCAGGGTGACCACCAAGGCAGGGTGATCACCGAGGCAGGGTGTCCACCGAGGCAGGGTGATCACCAAGGCAGGGTGTCCACCGAGGCAGGGTGATCACCGAGGCAGGGTGTCCACCGAGGCAGGGTGTCCACCGAGGCAGGGTGACCACCAAGGCAGGGTGATCACCGAGGCAGGGTGGCCACCGAGGCAGGGTGGCCACCAAGGCAGGGTGATCACCGAGGCAGGGTGGCCACCGAGGCAGGGTGTCCACCGAGGCAGGGTGGCCACCAAGGCAGGGTGATCACCGAGGCAGAGTGGCCACCGAGGCAGGGTGGCCACCGAGGCAGGGTGACCACCAAGGCAGGGTGGCCACCGAGGCAGGGTGGCCACCGAGGCAGGGTGGCCACCGAGGCAGGGTGGCCACCGAGGCAGGGTGTCCACCGAGGCAGGGTGACCACCAAGGCAGGGTGATCACCGAGGCAGGGTGTCCACCGAGGCAGGGTGATCACCGAGGCAGGGTGTCCACCGAGGCAGGGTGATCACCGAGGCAGGGTGTCCACCGAGGCAGGGTGTCCACCGAGGCAGGGTGACCACCGAGGCAGGGTGATCACCGAGGCAGGGTGTCCACCGAGGCAGGGTGATCACCGAGGCAGGGTGATCACCGAGGCAGGGTGACCACCAAGGCAGGGTGTCCACCGAGGCAGGGTGATCACCGAGACAGGGTGTCCACCGAGACAGGGTGGCCCATAAAGAAAAACAAAAGTTTCTCTTTTAGCTTTAGTAATATATACAGGAGAAAGGGTTACTAGCCCTGTGCTCTCGGCATTTTAGTCGCCTCACGACACACATGGCTTACGGAGGAAGAATTCTGTTCCACTTCCCCATGGAGATTGAAACTTGCTATATCATGCAAAACAACCACAGGGGGAGTTGAATTGTAGTTTTAGGCCTTTCGTGTTGTAATCAACACATCAGGAGCTTGCAGTGTTGCAGAAATGAGTAAGAAGTCTAAGAAGATCCATTGAAGAGAATGACTCTCATTAGCCATTCCCTTCAACAGATATTTCTAGACTTCTTACTCATTTATGCAACATTGCAAGTGCCTGATGATGTGTTGATTGCAACACAAAAGGCAATCATTCAACTCCCCTGTGGTTCGTTTGCATTTTGTGTCGCAATTCTTCCATTGTTAAATCATGTTTTTTTTTTTCAAAGCACCATCCGTCTCCCACCGAGGCAGGGTGATAAGTCGTACCTATTTTTTATATATCATTTAGCAGGTACAGTTAAATTAGTGTGTGGGAGTAACTAATGTGAATCATGTTTAATTCTTTCACGGAGTTTTGTAATTGAAGGAGGAGAGTTGTGCTTCTGCTGTTTCATCCTCATTAATATGTTCATCATATGACTTTTAATATTTCCAGTACAGTGGACCCTCGACCAATGATGGCATCGACTAACGTTAAATTCGATAAAACGATACGTTAACGCTAACATGTTGCCTCGACTAACGTTAAAAAAACTCGACTAACGATAATCGTTCTCAGGTACCAATTAATATCGTTAGTCGAGGGTCCACTGTAGTTGTAGTTTTTATATACAGCCTCTCGTCACTTAGCGATGGAGTTCTGTTCCTAAGAGTAGGTCGTTAAACGAATTGGTTGTTAAGTGAGGATTATACTATACTGGTAGTGGGTTTGTGTCAACCATCTTTGATATTGTTTTAATATTGCCTTTGTACCATTTATAACATTTCTGGTATATTTTTAAATGTTTATACAGTGGTGTACTGTATATGGTAATAAACAGAATAGAGGAAATCAGCTCTAATATACACCTACCATCCGACTTACGACCGAGTTCGGTTCCGAGAAACCGGTCATAAGTCGAAATGGTCGTAAGTCAAACTTTACTACTGAATATCAACAAAACATTTTTGTAATGACTGTTTTATTGTTTTATTTTGGTATTTCATGTTTTACTTTACTTTTTATGTTGTTAGTACTGTATTTTATACTGTAAGGTTTAGGATAAACACTGTGTACAACACAAACACTTGTTTATTTCCCAGAAATTTGGCATAAAAAACACGGTCATAAGTCGAGTGGTCGTAAGTCGAGCAGGTCGTAAGTCGGATGGTAGGTGTATTTTTAAATGTTTATACAGTGGTGTACTGTGTATGGTAATAAACAGATTAGAGGAAATCAGCTCAAATATACATTACTTAGGTATGCATACTGGTCAGAGAGCCGGTCGTAAAGTCTGGGCAGTCATTAAACGAGTATGTCGTTAAGTGAGGAGAAACTGTATATCAGTTTATTCCATTCTTTCACCTCTCTCTTTGTAAAAAAAATTAAATTCACAGGACCCCACTGACTTCATTTTTACTTAATTTAACCCGTAAACGGTCCAAACGTATATATACGTTTTTTCAACATTTAAAAGTATGTAAAAAAAGTAGATCTTTTTGTTTTTTTACATTTGAAAATGTGTAAAAAAACTTTGATCTACTTTTTTTTGTTATATTTGAAAATATGTAAAAAAAACGTAGATCTGTTTGGACCGTTTACGGGTTAAATCTGTGGTCTTTCATGTCTGTTGAAGGCAGTGAGAAAATTCTTTATAAATTCTTTCATATGCTTTTATAGGCTCATACTTCACATTCCAGAAAATTTGCAATTAGGAGCGTTATGACGACATTTTTGGTCGTCCTGGACCATTCTTAAGTCGCAGTGACTTGATGATGGTTCTTGACTCGACTCGACTGGTTTTTATGATGGTTCTTAAGGGACCAAAACGTAATTAAGTTCATCTGCTAATTGATGGTTTTTTGGTGACTTATTCCAGCCATAGTGTTGTGACTTTCTTAACAAACCACAGAACGGATGGTGTTTGAACCCATGTTGAGTGGTAAAACTCCAGGACAGTGTGCAACTCACTGGGCCAGCTTTAACAACTCACTCTCCATGAGTTCAAACCCCACCCATTCTGCAGTTTGTTTGCTCTTGTTATTATGATTTCGTGAGTCATGACTTTATTCTTCACAAGTAGCCCACATTTATAGAAGAAATTTTAGACAGCATTTAAATGCTATATAAAGTTTTCTGTGTGAGTGTGCAGTGTTGGTGAATCATTCCAGTAGTGCTGTAATTTATTTAATGTATTGTATGTTTTCCCACTGAGGCAAGGTGACCTATAAAAAGAAGAAACACCTTCATTATCACTCACTCCATCACTGTATTGCCAGAGGCGGGCCTATACAACAGTTCAAAAACTACAACATGTCTCCACCCACATTCAGAGTGCAGACACTGTAGGCTGTAGACAGTATGATATTAGCAAAATTATTCTGATCTGTAGCTTGTCACCCGATGTATTTCATATGCATTGTTTATATTGAATTGCAGGAGCAATGGTGGCAAGGCAGTACAGAGAACGACGAAGGAACGAATATAAACAACACGACTCTGAGACGTAAGCTACTCTTCAGCCACGACGAACTCCTTAATGTTACACCGTAAGTAATGCTTATAAAATTATTGGTTTTTAATGGTCTCAGCTTCTTCATTGATTACATGTTTGGAAGATTAAGTTTTGCCTGAAGAAAATGGTTTTGTGTTCGTGAAATTGGAGTGTGGTTTATTTTTTTTATTAACACACTGGCCGATTCCCACCAAGGCAGGATGGCCCGAAAAAGAAAAACTTTCACCATCATTCACTCCATCACTGTCTTGCCAGAAGGATGCTTTACACTACAGTGGTTTATCAGTCCTTTTTATTGTGAACGGATTCAGGGAAAACTGGTTAGTCAGACTTGAGTCCTGGAGGTGGGAAGTACAGTGCCTGCACTCTGAAGGACGGGTTTGGGATATTTGCTGTTTGGAGGGACATCTGAACTTTTGTGTCTGTGCGCCTCTGGCAAAACAGTGATAGTGTGAATGATGGAGAAAGTGTTCCTTTTTTGGGTCGCCCTACCTCAGTGGGAGACAACCAGCATATTAAAAAAAAAACTGATAACTTGCTAGTATGATTGTGTATGTTTTAGTTTTTTCTTTGACAATTTGAGCGCATGTGTAATGTAATTTATAAAAGTCCTACAGTATTATCTTGGTTTTATATCATTCTCAGTTGTTCAAGCTTTTATGATTTACCTTTCTGAAGATGACTTAGGTAAAAATTCTCACTAGATTTTGTTGGTCATACAGATCATTATTTTTTTTATTATCACACTGGCCGATTCCCACCAAGGCAGGGTGGCCCGAAAAAGAAAAACTTTCACCATCATTCACTCCATCACTGTCTTGCCAGAAGGGTGCTTTACACTACAGTTTTTAAACTGCAACAATATAACACTTGAAATTGTGGACAAAATCTACGGGGTAAATTATATTTTTAACTCCTTGATTATCAGTGTTTATTGTAGTATACATGTAAATTGTATGCACCTGGAGAAGAGAGGAATGCAGAGGAGAGAGAGAGATTTTGGGAGATGTTAAGTGAATGTATAGGAGCCTTTGAACCAAGTGAGAGAGTAATTGTGGTAGGGGACTTGAATGCTAAAGTAGGAGAAACTTTTAGAGAGGGTGTGGTAGGTAAGTTTGGGGTGCCAGGTGTAAATGATAATGGGAGCCCTTTGATTGAACTTTGTATAGAAAGGGGTTTAGTTATAGGTAATACATATTTTAAGAAAAAGAGGATAAATAAGTATACACGATATGATGTAGGGCGAAATGACAGTAGTTTGTTGGATTATGTATTGGTAGATAAAAGACTGTTGAGTAGACTTCAGGATGTACATGTTTATAGAGGGGCCACAGATATATCAGATCACTTTCTAGTTGTAGCTACACTGAGAGTAAAAGGTAGATGGGATACAAGGAGAATAGAAGCATCAGGGAAGAGAGAGGTGAAGGTTTATAAACTAAAAGAGGAGGCAGTTAGGGTAAGATATAAACAGCTATTGGAGGATAGATGGGCTAATGAGAGCATAGGCAATGGGGTCGAAGAGGTATGGGGTAGGTTTAAAAATGTAGTGTTAGAGTGTTCAGCAGAAGTTTGTGGTTACAGGAAAGTGGGTGCAGGAGGGAAGAGGAGCGATTGGTGGAATGATGATGTAAAGAGAGTAGTAAGGGAGAAAAAGTTAGCATATGAGAAGTTTTTACAAAGTAGAAGTGATGCAAGGAGGGAAGAGTATATGGAGAAAAAGAGAGAGGTTAAGAGAGTGGTGAAGCAATGTAAAAAGAGAGCAAATGAGAGAGTGGGTGAGATGTTATCAACAAATTTTGTTGAAAATAAGAAAAAGTTTTGGAGTGAGATTAACAAGTTAAGAAAGCCTAGAGAACAAATGGATTTGTCAGTTAAAAATAGGAGAGGAGAGTTATTAAATGGAGAGTTAGAGGTATTGGGAAGATGGAAGGAATATTTTGAGGAATTGTTAAATGTTGATGAAGATAGGGAAGCTGTGATTTCGTGTATAGGGCAAGGAGGAATAACATCTTGTAGGAGTGAGGAAGAGCCAGTTGTGAGTGTGGGGGAAGTTCGTGAGGCAGTAGGTAAAATGAAAGGGGGTAAGGCAGCCGGGATTGATGGGATAAAGATAGAAATGTTAAAAGCAGGTGGGGATATAGTTTTGGAGTGGTTGGTGAAATTGTTTAATAAATGTATGGAAGAGGGTTAAGGTACCTAGGGATTGGCAGAGAGCATGCATAGTTCCTTTGTATAAAGGCAAAGGGGATAAAAGAGAGTGCAAAAATTATAGGGGGATAAGTCTGTTGAGTGTACCTGGTAAAGTGTATGGTAGAGTTATAATTGAAAGAATTAAGAGTAAGACGGAGAATAGGATAGCAGATGAACAAGGAGGCTTTAGGAAAGGTAGGGGGTGTGTGGACCAGGTGTTTACAGTGAAACATATAAGTGAACAGTATTTAGATAAGGCTAAAGAGGTCTTTGTGGCATTTATGGATTTGGAAAAGGCGTATGACAGGGTGGATAGGGGGGCAATGTGGCAGATGTTGCAAGTGTATGGTGTAGGAGGTAGGTTACTGAAAGCAGTGAAGAGTTTTTACGAGGATAGTGAGGCTCAAGTTAGAGTATGTAGGAAAGAGGGAAATTTTTTCCCAGTAAAAGTAGGCCTTAGACAAGGATGTGTGATGTCACCGTGGTTGTTTAATATATTTATAGATGGGGTTGTAAGAGAAGTAAATGCGAGGGTCTTGGCAAGAGGCGTGGAGTTAAAAGATAAAGAATCACACACAAAGTGGGAGTTGTCACAGCTGCTCTTTGCTGATGACACTGTGCTCTTGGGAGATTCTGAAGAGAAGTTGCAGAGATTGGTGGATGAATTTGGTAGGGTGTGCAAAAGAAGAAAATTAAAGGTGAATACAGGAAAGAGTAAGGTTATGAGGATAACAAAAAGATTAGGTGATGAAAGATTGAATATCAGATTGGAGGGAGAGAGTATGGAGGAGGTGAACGTATTCAGATATTTGGGAGTGGACGTGTCAGCGGATGGGTCTATGAAAGATGAGGTGAATCATAGAATTAATGAGGGAAAAAGAGTGAGTGGTGCACTTAGAGTCTGTGGAGACAAAGAACTTTGTCCTTGGAGGCAAAGAGGGGAATGTATGAGAGTATAGTTTTACCAACGCTCTTATATGGGTGTGAAGCGTGGGTGATGAATGTTGCAGCGAGGAGAAGGCTGGAGGCAGTGGAGATGTCATGTCTGAGGGCAATGTGTGGTGTGAATATAATGCAGAGAATTCGTAGTTTGGAAGTTAGGAGGAGGTGCGGGATTACCAAAACTGTTGTCCAGAGGGCTGAGGAAGGGTTGTTGAGGTGGTTCGGACATGTAGAGAGAATGGAGCGAAACAGAATGACTTCAAGAGTGTATCAGTCTGTAGTGGAAGGAAGGCGGGGTAGGGGTCGGCCTAGGAAGGGTTGGAGGGAGGGGGTAAAGGAGGTTTTGTGTGCGAGGGGCTTGGACTTCCAGCAGGCATGCTTGAGCGTGTTTGATAGGAGTGAATGGAGACAAATGGTTTTTAATACTTGACGTGCTGTTGGAGTGTGAGCAAAGTAACATTTATGAAGGGATTCAGGGAAACCGGCAGGCCGGACTTGAGTCCTGGAGATGGGAAGTACAGTGCCTGCACTCTGAAGGAGGGGTGTTAATGTTGCAGTTTAAAAACTGTAGTGTAAAGCACCCTTCTGGCAAGACAGTGATGGAGTGAATGATGGTGAAAGTTTTTCTTTTTCGGGCCACCCTGCCTTGGTGGGAATCGGCCGGTGTGATAATAAAAAAAAAAAAAAAATAACATGTAAATTGTATGTACTCTACTGTATTACGTCTATAGTACAGTGCCTAATTTAATTTTTTTTTGCTATTTTTTAACGTTATTTTGATTTTCATGTATACTCGGACCCCCGTCAGTCCATAATATCAGTTGTTTACTGTATTTTTGGGACAAAATGTAAATCCGACAATGCTGGTAATTTAATGTATTTACCTTCTCTTCTGTGTTGTAGTAATGATATTGATGCTCTAGAGATCACCAAGGCAAAAAAACATTATTTTTAGAAATATTTCTCCATTTAAGAGGGGGTCCATTGATATTGGTGAAGGGCTCTTGATCCAAGGAATTTAGCTTTTCCCTCATGTTAAACCTGTTCAGTCAATACTGTGCCATTCTTCAGGTGTTGTAAGACACTTCCATATTAATGTTAAGAATTATATTTATTTTTTATCGTTCTTCAGTTACGATGTGATTAATATATCCACCAGCTAGGAATTAATATATCCACCAGCTAGGAATTAATATATCCACCAGCTAGGAATTAATATATCCACCAGCCAGGAATTAATATATCCACCAGCCAGGAATTAATATATCCACCAGCCAGGAATTAATATATCCACCAGCCAGGAATTAATATATCCACCAGCTAGGAATTAATATATCCACCAGCCAGGAATTAATATATCCACCAGCTAGGAATTAATATATCTACCAGCCAGGAATTAATATATCCACCAGCCAGGAATTAATATATCCACCAGCCAGGAATTAATATATCCACCAGCCAGGAATTAATATATCCACCAGCCAGGAATTAATATATCCACCAGCCAGGAATTAATATATCCACCAGCCAGGAATTAATATATCCACCAGCCAGGAATTAATATATCGACCAGCCAGGAATTAATATATCCACCAGCCAGGAATTAATATATCCACCAGCCAGGAATTAATATATCCACCAGCCAGGAATTAATATATCCACCAGCCAGGAATTAATATATCGACCAGCCAGGAATTAATATATCCACCAGCCAGGAATTAATATATCGACCAGCCAGGAATTAATATATCCACCAGCCAGGAATTAATATATCCACCAGCCAGGAATTAATATATCCACCAGCCAGGAATTAATATATCCACCAGCCAGGAATTAATATATCCACCAGCCAGGAATTAATATATCCACCAGCCAGGAATTAATATATCCACCAGCCAGGAATTAATGAAAATGAAGAACATATTTATGTAAATTATGAGAAAATGAGTACGTTGCAACTTTTTTAATAATTAAAAAATTCTCCTTTAGTTGTCTGTATAATAAAAATGATTTTATTTTAAAGGATGTGTAGTCCAGGTGGCGGTGATGCTTCTGGCGTTGGGAGTCCTCCTTCATCCGTGGACCCCCTGCCCTTACACAGAGATGACCAGAGTCCAGAAAGAGTCCATGTTGACGATGACAAGGGCCTAATGTGGTGTACTGCAGTGGTTGCCCCAGACTTCATTGGTAGTTCCAGGAAGGATCCTCAGTTGGCCAGACATCCTCCACCATCACCATCGGTGTGTTCTCCTCCAACTCTCATGCAGCGAGTTAGCCCGTCGTATATTGCTGCTCTCTTGCCTGGGGATACTGATGGTGCTTTACAGCTCTTATCACCAGATCTGTCTCCCATAGAAGGTCATGAAAATTCCATGGCCTCTAAGCACCCAAGATTACATCCATCACCAGATGTCTCACCCATTCATGTTGTTCATCATGGCTCTGATTCAGGCCATGAAAACGTGTGTTCATCAAGCTCCTCATTTCTTAACCCAGTTCTTCATGGACATTCTCAGGCTATAAACCAGATACCTAACATGTCTCCCACACATTTATCCACAGAATTACAAGTCTCGCCAAGTAAGGCTGGAAAACATTTCTCACCTGTTGATAAACCTTTCCCGAATGTTTTAACAACCGATGTTTCTTTACTTGGAAATGATAAACTACTACACAAGGAACCACAAAAATCACCAATTACCGGAACGCTCGCTTCTCTACAACATCCGTGCCATCAGAAACCTTGTACAGTTAGTGAACTTGAGACAAATGATGTAGAAACCCAAGCAAGTAAAGAAGACACTGGCATGTTAGATTTAAACAGAAAGGGACCAGAGTCTGAACTGGAGGTAGTTACTTGCAGTAGTCAAGATGCCTTATTGAAGTCTCCAGGGTCACTAATATGCAAAGAGAATTTTAATCCTGCCACTGAAGCAGATTTCACAAATGCCATTCAAGACAGTGCAGTAATGTCAATGAATAAAAAATGTGATAATTTGGAAAGGTGCTCACCTGAAAGGCTTCAGAAAAGTGGAGAAGCCTTAGATGTGACTATGGGATTCACCATCTCTGAGGAGAATGCTGCAGATCCTCAGGAAACCTCAGGAAAAACTTCTCCGGTGGCAGAGCTCAGAACATCCAGCAACTCGGTAAGTACAGCTTTACATATTTACTTGTGCTTGTAACACCTTCTCCGGTATAAATTACATGTAAAAAGAAGAACTTTTGGTTTTCTCTTTAGGTCACCCTTCCTCAGTGGAAGATGGCCAGTACATTGAATTTTTTATTTTTAACATGGGCATTTTTCCCTACTTAAGTGGGGTGACCCAAAGAAAAAGACACTTTCACCATCATTCGTTCAATGGTAGCCGTCTTGCTAGAAGCGCTCGGACATCACAGGTCAAATTACCCTCCAAACTGCAGCATTCCCTTGCAAACTTCAGAGCACAAACAGGAAAATTTTTCCTTTTAAATTTAATAATTTATACAGACGAAGGGTTTACTAGCCCCTTTGTCCCAGCATTTTAGTCGACTCTTACGACGTGCATGACTTACAGACGAAGGATTCTTTTCCAGTTCCACGTAGAGTATTTGTTTATGTAAGATAGAATAATGAGCCCTGAAGCTAATACAGTGGACCCCCGTTTAACGATATTTTTTCACTCCAGAAGTATGTTCAGGTGCCAGTACTGACCGAATTTGTTCCCATAAGGAATATTGTGAAGTAGATTAGTCCATTTCAGACCCCCAAACATACACGTACAAACGCACTTACATAAATACACTTACATAATTGGTCGCATTGGGAGGTGATTGTTAAGCGGGGGTCCACTGTATACCAAACCAATATGTAAATTATTGTATATGATGTTTAATATAAGAATGAACATCATCTTGCAGGGTCATTTTTCATCTAGTCCAATACGAGGTGCTTGTCAAAGCCCCTTAGAGGTGGAAACACCTAACAGAAGATTCTCCGATTCTCCGCCGCTCTCCCCCATCCTGTGTCGCTCCTTGATGTTCCAAGGTCACAGCGCTCGTCCAGTGTCTCCCAGAAAGCTTCAGCACGACCATCCCACGAAGAGAGATACTCTTGGCGTTTTACAGTCGACATTTTTCTGTGATGACACAGGTTAGTCACACTGATAATGATACATATGACGTAATCTATTCTAATTATTTTTTAAGTATGGTGTAATTTATTTAACGTTTTTGAAATATGATTTAGTATACTATTGTAGCATTTTTTTAAATATGATGCTAACTATTCTAATTATATTTACCAAATTCCTGAGTTTTGTTAAGCCATAATGATGTCAAAAGAATTTTTTTTAATGAATAATTTTATTAATTTCGGAAAGCATGCAATAAACAAAAATTTACCAATCACATTACGGAAGTTACAATATTTTTGGTACGTACAGCTGTTCCTCGACTTAGTGGTTCAGCTTACGATGTTTTGCCTTTATAATGGTGCAAAAACAATTACTTTGGAGATGAAATTAAAGATAATTACCCAGCATGAAGACGGAATCTACCATTTTTTTTTTTTTTACATCAGCCATCTCCCATACTGGTAATATTGGTATTCTGGTATTTAGTTATTTATTTTATTTGTTTATTTACTTATTCAGTGACAGTAGTTACTTATTTACTTATTTAGCATATTCGACTTATGATATTTTTGACTTACGATGTGTTTGTCAGAACATAACCTCGTTGTAAGTCAACCACAACCTGTAATTGATTAATTTACACAGAATATTTGCTAGATACACACGCAAGGTATTGCGAAATTTACTATTGTCATCCTTTTAGGGACAAATTGTACCGATGAACTGATGGATGATGGTCACAGTGATGCCGCAGCAGTTGAACAACGCCTGAACCCCATCATCCTTGCTCGTCTCTCTAGCCGTGTTCCGCTCGTACGCTCATCCTCCATCTGTGACATGGAGACTGATTCTCAGCCTTCTATTGAGGTTAGTTTCATTTTTAATCTATCACATTGGCCGTCTCCTACCAAAATAGGGTGACGCAGAAAAGGAAACACATTCACCATCATTTATTCAATAGCTGTCTTGCCAGAACTATGCAAACATCACAATTCAAACAGTGTTACCTCAAATTTCGGCCTTAACTCGTTCCAGAAGACTGTTAGTGCTGCTACCGAACGAATTTTTTCCCATAAGGGATAATATAAATTAGATTAATCCGTTTCAGAACCCCAAAAATACACTTACAAAAACACACTTACGAAAACACTTACAAACATACACTTACATAATTATTGGAGTTGGGAGCTGTTCGAAATTTGAAGTACCACTGTATCTCTCACCGGCAAAATATATACAGTGGACCCCCGGTTAATGATATTTTTTCACTCCAGAAGTATGTTCAGGTGCCAGTACTGACCGAATTTGTTCCCATAAGGAATATTGTGAAGTAGATTAGTCCATTTCAGACCCCCAAACATACACGTACAAACGCACTTACATAAATACACTTACATAATTGGTCACATTCGGAGGTAATCGTTATGCGGGGGTCCACTGTATTCTCTGTAGTGTAAAAATGTAAGCTTAATTGTGGCGTCTGTTGCTCACGACATTTTAGACAAAATTGTAGCCGTCAGTTACAGTAATGTGTGTACTGTATATATGTTGTTTTAGGCCTAGCTCTTTTTCCTCACATAATATATGATAGTGTAAATATGTTAATAGGCTTTTATGTGCTTTGAAAGTGAAAAAAAAAAATTAATTTTGCAGTAATTTTCACTTTACATCAGTAGCTCGGAACCTAACCTACTGTATAAGTGGGGCCCTACAGTAGCCCAGAACCTAACCTGCTGTATAAGTGGGGCCCTACAGTAGCTCAGAACCTAACCTGCTGTATAAGTGGGGCCCTACAGTAGCCCAGAACCTAACCTGCTGTATAAGTGGGGCCCTACAGTAGCTCAGAACCTAACCTGCTGTATAAGTGGGGTCCTACAGTAGCTCGGAACCTAACCTGCTGTATAAGTGGGGCCCTACAGTAGCTCAGAATCTAACCTGCTGTATAAGTGGGGCCCTACAGTAGCCCAGAACCTAACCTGCTGTATAAGTGGAGCCCTACAGTAGCTCAGAACCTAACCTGCTGTATAAGTGGGGCCCTACAGTAGCTCAGAACCTAACCTGCTGTATAAGTGGGGCCCTACAGTAGCTCGGAACCTAACCTGCTGTATAAGTGGGGCCCTACAGTAGCCCAGAACCTAACCTGCTGTATAAGTGGGGCCCTACAGTAGCTCAGAACCTAACCTGCTGTATAAGTGGGGCCCTACAGTAGCCCAGAACCTAACCTGCTGTATAAGTGGGGCCCTACAGTAGCCCAGAATCTAACCTGCTGTATAAGTGGGGCCCTACAGTAGCTCAGAACCTAACCTGCTGTATGAGTATGGCCCTACAGTAGCCCAGAACCTAACCTGCTGTATAAGTGGGGCCCTACAGTAGCCCAGAACCTAACCTGCTGTATAAGTGGGGCCCTACAGTAGCCCAGAACCTAACCTGCTGTATAAGTGGGGCCCTACAGTAGCTCAGAACCTAACCTGCTGTATAAATGGGGCCCTACAGTAGCCCAGAACCTAACCTGCTGTATAAGTGGGGCCCTACAATAGCTCAGAACCTAACCTACTGTATAAGTGGGGCCCTAAAGTAGCCCAGAACCTAACCTGCTGTATAAGTGGGGCCTTACAGTAGCTCAGAACCTAACCTGCTGTATAAGTGAGGGCCTACAGTAGCTCAGAACCTAACCTGCTGTATAAGTGAGGGCCTACAGTAGCTCAGAACCTAACCTGCTGTATAAGTGGGACCCTACAGTAGTGCAGAACCTAGCCTGCTGTATAAGTGGGGCCCTACAGTAGCCCAGAACCTAATCTGTTGTATAAGTGGGGCCCTACAGTAGCTCAGAACCTAACCTGCTGTATAAGTGGGGCCCTACAGTAGCTCAGAACCTAACCTGCTGTATAAGTGAGGCCCTACAGTAGCCCAGAACCTAACCTGCTGTATGAGTGGGGCCCTACAGTACCTCAGAACCTAACCTGCTGTATAACTGGGGCCCTACAGTAGCACAGAACCTAACCTGCTGTATAAGTGGGGCCCTACAGTAGCCCAGGACCTCATTTGCTCTATAAGTGGGGCCCTACAGTAGCTCAGAACCTAACCTGCTGTATAAGTGGGGCCCTACAGTAGCTCAGAACCTAACCTGCTGTATAAGTGGGGCCCTACAATAGCCCAGAACTTAATCTGCTGTGTAAGTGGGAACCATCTTTGTAGGGCCCCACTTATACAGCAGATTAGGTTCCAGGCTACTGTATGTATAGTTATGACATTATTTATTTATTTTTTTTGTATTAACTTGTTGCCCGTCTCCCACCAAGGCAGGACGGCCCGAGAAAGAAAAACTTTCACCATCATTCACTCCATTACCGTCTTGCCAGAGAGGTGGTTACACTACAATTATAAAACTGCACCATTAACACCCCTCCTTCATGAGTGGTCTTTTTCACTTCATTAGTACTAAAGAAGCTACTTGTGGCCAAAAGTCATAACTAGACACAAATTTCTTATACAAATAACAAAAAAGGCACAGTTCCGTGACTGGAATGATACACAAATAACGCGCACGTAGAAGAGAGGAGCTTACGTCGACATTTTGGTCTGACTTGGACCTTTTTGTTAGTGTGACTTTGTAAACGGTCCAGGTCAGACCGAAATGTCATTGTAAGCTCCTCTCTTCTATGTGCGGGTTATTTGTGTATTCTACAAATTGTTAGTACAGTGGACCCCCAGTTTACGATCAGCTCCCAATGCGACCAATTATGTAAGTGTATTTATGTAAGTGTGTTTGTATGTGTATGTTTGGGGGTCTGAAATGGACTAATCTAATTCACAATATTCCTTATGGGAACAAATTCGGTCAGTACTGGCACCTGAATATACTTCTGGAATGAAATAATATCGTAAACCGGGGGTCCACTGTATTGCCATAACCTGTATGATCATTTGTTATTATTACCGATCTTTCTTTTTCACAGATTAATGGAAATGAAGAGGGTCAGTTGCAAGATACAGGCTATCAAACTGGTAGCTTGCACACCACCAACTTCAACATGACAACCTATAACCAAGATAATAACTATTCATCTAACACAATACCACCACCCCAGACAGAACACCTTGGTAGATTTGTCAATAGTTCTTATATCCAGGGCAACAGTGCTATTACAAAGATTAGTAGAAATGGATACACTGTTACCTTGGGTAAGAACATTTCTCAGTGAACAGAAACTATTGTAAATTTAAGTCAAGTGTACAAGAAAGTATTATACAGAGATGTGTGTCAGGGAGTATAATTATCAGGTCTCATATGTATAAAGCCAGTAAATGCCTGAGAGTAATTAAACATGATTTTATTAATTTTTTTATTAACACACTGGCCGATTCCCACCAAGGCAGGGTGGCCCAAAAAAGAAAAACTTTCACCATCATTCACTCCATCACTGTCTTGCCAGAAGGGTGCTTTACACTACAGTTTTTAAACTGCAAATTTAACACCCCTCCTTCAGAGTGCAGGCACTGTACTTCCCATCTCCAGGACTCAAGTCCGGCATGCCGGACTTGAAGGAACACTGCAGCAGGTCTACTGGCCCATGTGAGGCAGATCCAAGTCTCCTACCGGCTTAAGCCACTGACCCAACCTAGTCAGGGCACATCAGAAGTCACATCTGAATTACACAACATTCAGAAAGAAGGTTGTTGTTTAACATATTCCTTACTAAGAGCGATCTTAAGAAGAAAATTTCGACTTCTTTGTAGTAAACGAATATAAGAAATGTGAGTACAACCTCTTGTTTCCGTGATAATGTAATAATTATTTTTTAAGACCGGCCATTACCCACCAAGACAGGGTGACCCAAAAAAAGAAGAAATGCTTTTTATATAATGATGTAGACACTAATATCTGTACTCGGCTTTTTCTTATAGTAAAGAGAAAGTGTGTAAGAGATTTCTCATAAGTCCCATAATGTAGAAGTGTGTGTCGAGTGCACTCACTGTTGCTCACTATAATTCTCACAACCATACCAGTATTCTTCATTTACTACACCTACCATCCGACTTACGACCTGCTCGACTTATGACCACTCGACTTACGACCGTGTTTTTTATGCCAAATTTCTGGGAAATAAACAAGTGTTTGTGTTGTACACAGTGTTTATCCTAAACCTTACAGTATAAAATACAGTACTAACAACATAAAAAGTAAAGTAAAACATGAAATACCAAAATAAAACAAAATAAAGTCATTACAAAAATGTTTTGTTGATATTCAGTAGTAAAGTTCGACTTACGACCATTTCGACTTACGACCGGTTTCTCAGAACCGAACTCGGTCGTAAGTCGGATGGTATGTGTATAGTGTAGGTATTATTTAACTTATATTGATTTAAGAAAATAGCTGATCGTTACGTTCAGGTTTTTGATTAATGATCAAAATATTAATTTATTAACGTTTTTGCTTTTATTTAGACTTTCTTATTTCTACTTTTGTTTAGACAGTAATTTTCTTTCTTATTTCAAGTATATGCAGAAATGTCGTTTTTTAAATTTGTGGATATGTGAAAAATAAGATTTAATCGTCAGAATTTTTTATGTAAAGGTATTTTGTATATTAGTTGTTTATATACGAGCCGTAATGCAAAGACTTATTAGATATAACGACTGAAAATGTTCATTGTGTGAGGTATTAGAACCAAAGACACAACATAATTGACTCGAAACAGATTAAACACGTATTATGATACTCAATAATAACCCACAAGGAGATGGGAACTCAGAAGATTTTACAAATAACTCGCACATAGAAGAGAGAAGCTTACGACGACGTTTCGGTCCGACTTGGATCATTTACAAAGTCACACTCAGAAGATTAATTGATCTGGAGTCCTTTCTGCTGAAGAGGACCCCAGAAGGTCAGAATACACAGATGAGTTATTCTTCTGAGTTTGTCTCAGTATGGGTTATTAATGAACATTGATAAGTGTTCATTACACTTTAATTAGCCAAGTATTGTGATATATATTATTTTCATGTTTATTGTAGATATATTTCAGTAGCTGTAATGCTGCCATACTGAAATAAAAGGTATAACCTTTATATAGATTATTAAGAGTTTTAGAACAAATAAGGCATTGCTGACAGCATGAACCTGATCTCTGTGTTAAAAATGCCTTAACGTATTACATGTTTTATCTCCAAATAATGTTTATTTTAAGAAATAAAACGACTGTTTTTATTATTTTGTTTTAACATATTGGCTGTCTCCCACCAAGGCAAGTAATGTGAAAAAGAAAAATACTTTTTTAGTTATTTATACAGGAAAAGAATTTACTAGTATCTGTGGCCGAGTGGTCTAGAGCATCACTAGGGAACAAACCATACCACGGGCGGGATTTGAACCCGCGGTCAGAGAGTCTCTAAACTCCAGACCGTCGTGTTAGCCACTGGACCAGCTAGCCACAATAAGATTCGTCCAACTAGGTATATTTCTACACCATAGGAAGGTTAGCATAGGCACCACTGTGACCACAAATGCAAGTTTTTACAGACGAATCTCCAGCTAGCGTGGCCGTGACTCTCTGACCGCGGGTTCAGATCCCGCCCGTGGTATGGTTTGTTTACAATCGTGTCATTACGATTTCGTGAATCACTAGGGAACCTTTGTCAGCCTCCCTGATGTGGCTTTGAATCCTGCTGACTGCTATCTTTCTCTGTATATACCTGTTTGTTTCTGTGTGGTGCTTTTACAAACATTTTCTCTAAGTCACAGCAGGATTTGAACCTGCAAACTTGGCATTAGGGTACACAGTACAGTGGACCCCTGGTTTACGATCAGCTCCCATTGCGACCAATTATGTAAGTGTATTTATGTAAGTGCGTTTGTACGTGTATGTTTGGGGGTCTGAAATGGACTAATCTAATTCACAATATTCCTTATGGGAACAAATTCGGTCAGTAGTGGCACCTGAACATACTTCTGGAATGAAATAATATCGTAAACCGGGGGTCCACTGTACTTTATCCACAACACCAGACTCCAGATAAGGATGTTTGCCTAGCCGAAGCTAGACGGTCGCTCTCCAGAGCATCAGGCTTCTACAAAGTTATTTAATTAAATCCTGCCACATACAGTAAATTAGGAAAGATTGTGAAATGCCCAGCAATTCTCAAACAGGAGGATAGTACCTCCCTGGATGGTTGTTGTCTACCAGTCTTCTACAGGAGGATAGTACCTCCCTGGATGGTTGTTGTCTACCAGTCTACTACAGGAGGATAGTACCTCCCTGGATGGTTGTTGTCTACCAGTCTTCTACAGGAGGATAGTACCTCCCTGGATGGTTGTTGTCTACCAGTCTACTACAGTAGGATAGTACCTCCCTGGATGGTTGTTGTCTACCAGTCTTCTACAGGAGGATAGTACCTCCCTGGATGGTTGTTGTCTACCAGTCTTCTACAGTAGGATAGTACCTCCCTGGATGGTTGTTGTCTACCAGTCTACTACAGGAGGATAGTACCTCCCTGGATGGTTGTTGTCTACCAGTCTACTACAGGAGGATAGTACCTCCTGGATGGTTGTTGTCTACCAGTCTACTACAGGAGGTTAGTACCTCCTGGATGGTTGTTGTCTACCAGTCTACTACAGGAGGATAGTACCTCCTGGATGGTTGTTGTCTACCAGTCTACTACAGGAGGATAGTACCTCCCTGGATGGTTGTTGTCTACCAGTCTACTACAGGAGGATAGTACCTCCCTGGATGGTTGTTGTCTACCAGTCTACTACAGGATAGTACCTCCCTGGATGGTTGTTGTCTACCAGTCTACTACAGGAGGATAGTACCTCCCTGGATGGTTGTTGTCTACCAGTCTTCTACAGGAGGATAGTACCTCCCTGGATGGTTGTTGTCTACCAGTCTACTACAGGAGGATAGTACCTCCTGGATGGTTGTTGTCTACCAGTCTTCTACAGGAGGATAGTACCTCCTGGATGGTTGTTGTCTACCAGTCTTCTACAGGAGGATAGTACCTCCCTGGATGGTTGTTGTCTACCAGTCTTCTACAGGAGGATAGTACCTCCCTGGATGGTTGTTGTCTACCAGTCTTCTACAGGAGGATAGTACCTCCCTGGATGGTTGTTGTCTACCAGTCTTCTACAGGAGGATAGTACCTCCCTGGATGGTCGTCTACCAGTCTACTACAGGAGGATAGTACCTCCCTGGATGGTTGTTGTCTACCAGTCTACTACAGGAGGATAGTACCTCCCTGGATGGTTGTTGTCTACCAGTCTTCTACAGGAGGATTGTACCTCCCTGGATGGTTGTTGTCTACCAGTCTACTACAGGAGGATAGTACCTCCCTGGATGGTTGTTGTCTACCAGTCTTCTACAGGAGGATAGTACCTCCCTGGATGGTTGTTGTCTACCAGTCTTCTACAGGAGGATAGTACCTCCCTGGATGGTTGTTGTCTACCAGTCTACTACAGGAGGATAGTACCTCCCTGGATGGTTGTTGTCTACCAGTCTTCTACAGGAGGATAGTACCTCCCTGGATGGTTGTTGTCTACCAGTCTACTACAGGAGGATAGTACCTCCCTGGATGGTTGTTGTCTACCAGTCTTCTACAGGAGGATAGTACCTCCCTGGATGGTTGTCTACCAGTCTACTACAGGAGGATAGTACCTCCCTGGATGGTTGTTGTCTACCAGTCTTCTACAGGAGGATAGTACCTCCCTGGATGGTTGTTGTCTACCAGTCTTCTACAGGAGGATAGTACCTCCCTGGATGGTTGTTGTCTACCAGTCTACTACAGGAGGATAGTACCTCCCTGGATGGTTGTTGTCTACCAGTCTACTACAGGAGGTTAGTACCTCCCTGGATGGTTGTTGTCTACCAGTCTACTACAGGAGGTTAGTACCTCCCTGGATGGTTGTTGTCTACCAGTCTACTACAGGAGGTTAGTACCTCCCTGGATGGTTGTTGTCTACCAGTCTACTACAGGAGGTTAGTACCTCCCTGGATGGTTGTTGTCTACCAGTCTACTACAGTAGGATAGTACCTCCCTGGATGGTTGTTGTCTACCAGTCTACTACAGGAGGATAGTACCTCCCTGGATGGTTGTTGTCTACCAGTCTACTACAGGAGGATAGTACCTCCCTGGATGGTTGTTGTCTACCAGTCTTCTACAGGAGGATAGTACCTCCCTGGATGGTCGTCTACTAGTCACCAGGACAACCAGTCAACACCTCAATATCAACTCCAGTAAGTCACAGGGATGTTAGGAAGTATTTCTTCAGTCGAAGTTGTCAGGAACAATCTGGAGAGTGATATAGTGGAGGCAGGATCCGTACATAGCTTTAAGAAGAGGTATGATAGCGCTCATGGAGCAAGGAGAGAGAGAGGACCTAGTAGCGATCAGTGAAGAGGCAGGGCCAGGAGCTGTGAATCGACCCCTGCAACCAGAAACAGGTTACTACAAAACATAGATTAATGCTGACTAACGTGAACAGTTCAGTAATTTCAAGGCTGATAGACAGCAACTATCTATCTAATCACCTAAGACTGATCAGGAGATTATTTACTGATTACGTTGATTTAGGTTCAGGTACACGTAAGTACAATTAGGAGTGTAAATTACTCGCCAGGATAACACAAGTCAGATGTATTCACCTGTTTGAGGTTACAGGGGTTGAGTCGCAGCTCCTGGCTCCGGATGTGTACACTCCTGTCTGCTGCTGCCCCCCCACACACACACACACACACACACACACAAACACAAAACCCAAAAAACAAAAAACCCACACACACCAACCAAAACACCACACAACACACACAAAACACACACCACCAACAAAAACAAACCCAAACACACACACCAAACAACACACCACACACAAAAACACACAACAAACAAAACCCAACACACACACACCACACACACACACAACAACAACAAACCCAACAAAAATAAAAACCCCCAAAACAACAACAACACACACACACCAACCACACAAACCACCCCACACAAACCACACAACACACCAAAACACCCCCAAAAACACCCCCAACACCAAACCACACACACCCCAAACACCACAAAAACACAAAACAAAAAACAAAAAACAAAACAAACACACAAAACACAAAAACAACAC